AACACCCCGAAAAGTAGGAAACTATAAAATAAATATAAGGCTAGTGATGATACTTGTAAATTTATTTCATTTCATGTGTATATGCACTTTTACAATTTCCACAAGTTTGAATTTTGTAATTGCTTGCAATAGAGAAATGAAGTTAGTTTTTAAAAGAGTTTTCAAATCATCAGTAGGCATATTCTGAGGGCTTTTTAGGTATTTTAATAGTAATACAGATACTGTATAAGAATTTATGGGTGGGTTAGAAAAGCATGAACTGTATGATCAAGGCTTAGGATTGATGGTTTTGCATTTTACCAGAAATAGTACATGAGTGCCTTTTAACTCGTGTAATTCATATTGGTGTGCAAACTAGTCAGAATGTATAATTTCATCATACTTGTATACAAAAATGAAAATAAAACTGTTTAGAAAAATAATTGTTTTTGTTTAAAATGTTTGTGTTTCTTGACAGTATTTTCTTCCCCTAATGCTCTAGTCTACCCTGATTTGGGAGAAGTATTTTGTGAATATATACTTTCATAATCAGTGTGTTCTGCTTGAAAATAAAACTGACTTCTGTCAGGATGGAGCTGGAGTTACTTCTAGTCAAAGTAATGTAGATTTTCACTGCTATTTCATTTAGTAGTACCTTATTTGAATTAAAAATGACAGTATTGGCTAAATTTATGTAAACTATCTTTAATATAACATATTCAAACACAGTTCATTTACATGGACACTTCTCAAAGTAAAGTTTTACTGTTGAGAAACTATTGTACAGATTTCTGTACAACACCATGTTGGACTTACTAAATCTTGGATGTTTCTGTTCTGAGCTTTTAATCTTTTTACAGCTGTACTAATCTTTTTTAATTCTCTTATGGACTTATTCCCTTCCTGTTAATAAATGTTGTTCTGTCTGTGTGATTATTATAGACTTTGCTAGAAATCAAATGCAGTTATTTCCTGTCCCTTCTGTCCAATAGGCAAATGTAGGAATGAACAATTTCTAAAGTGAACATAATGTTTTGAGTTGTTATATCAGAAATACTTACCCACATAAACACAACTGACACAAGCTTTTCACATTAAAAAGATTCACAGTACTACAGTGGTGGAATTTCTGTTTTTAATTTGACTTCTTAAATTATAATTCAATATACATATGTTCCTTAAAGTATCTATTTATGGAAAGTTGGTGGTAGGATACATGCCAAGACAAATGTGTAAGAGTAATATATAATCAAAGGATACCACTGTGGCTCTGTTCTGTAGTATGTTGCCATTTCCATCTGAACACAAGGACTATTTGCCATTCTTTCTTAATTCCCCTCTGGGATTGTGATTAAAACATTGCTATTGCAATTGTTGGCTGTACAAACACTATTCAGACATCTACAATTTAGTTCAATTAGAATACCCATCTCAAAGTAAGACAATCTGGTCTTTCATTCCTTTCTGTTATGGTTTGAACAGGAAAAATGCAAGTTAAGAAAAGTTTCATACACTTTTATTGGGTAAAAGTTTCAAAAGCACTGAAGTCTTGCTTTTAAACATTGAAAATCTTACCTCTTCATTACTTTTATCACTACTCTAGAGTGCTTGTGCTACTGCTCAATTTTCTTTCCTGCATTTAAACACAAACTAGCCTCTTTCTCTCTGGTATAGTTGCAAGAAACTTAGAGCACAATATCTAAGGTTTTTTTTTCGTGCTCCATGGTTGATCTCATTTGGGCCTTTTTAATTGAGACTGAAATAGCCATAATTGGCTCTATACTTCCCCTGATTTTTGCCTCCCTTTGTCGCTCCTCCTTCTTTTGCCAGCTCCTGAGAGATCTAGTCCTGCTCCCTAGGCTGCTTAGTTCTTAAGTTTAAACTGTCACTTCTTTTCTTGTGTTAGTCACCAAAATAATTTGAGATGCACGTAGAACCTTTAATGAGTTACCTCTAGGATAGAATACCATGGCCTCTGTTCAACGAACTTGTTTTGACAAGTTATGCCATGGTGTATCAGTTGAGTACTCTGGCATTCAAGTAAATTGTATGTTGTAGGTTATGAATGCTAATTCAAAACTTCACATAAGTTTTCCCCTAACTATATCTGGCTATGTGATATCTAGAGACAATGCATGTAAAAAGCTTTCAGTGAAGTGTTCAGCAGTTAATTACATAAAAATGGATTTTGCTATGCTTACTGGCTGACACTTTTATCTACCATTGTTTATAATAAAGTTAATACATAACAGTGACTTTAAATATTTGTGTTGTAATTGACTACGGAGCCTTACTGCACTCTGATAAAATCAGCACAATTTCTTGAGCCTATAAATATGGGCATATTTTTACACTGAAGCATAGCTATTTTGTCTGTCTTTAGTTCAGAGGTAAAAATCTTTAAAATGCCTGTAGTTGGCTAGAGTATCGGAATTAAATTATGCATATAAATATTCCATACATTTTTCTGTGAAGTGATATCCTATTATTTTAACTTGAAACAAACAGAGTAAACTTGTTGAGGAAGGGGATAACTTAATGGCATATCATGATCCGGGTTCTTGCCTTCTAAAAGAAACAATCTCTGAATGTTCTGAAGATACGCACCTTCCCTAACAGGTTTTGCCTTATAACAGTTACTGTGATTCATCTTGAGCACTGGTCTCTTAAGACAAATGAATGCACAATAAATGTATCCTTTAGCAGATTTTGGTATTTAGCATTTCTGTTTAAGTGTATGCCACTGATCCATTGTACAGAAAGCCTACTATATTCTCTAATTTGGAGGCTTGTAAATACAACTGAAGTTTGATGCACAGGACTTCAAACCTCTCATTTCTAGGGGAAACTAGTGCTTTTCAGTATATTCAAACAGTCTGCAAAACATTTAGTTTCATGATTCATGCTACAAGCATCTTTAACAAAACATTTGTGAACAACTTGTGCAAGTATCTGCATGTAGGTGAGAGTTTTAATTGTCAGCATTTCAAAACAGATTTCTCTGAATAAACCCCACATCTTCAGTGGTTGATAGCCTGATGAGTTGCAGAATACAACTGTTCTTGGTCCATGCCTGCTTTTCCAAGTTGTTTTATATAATATCTTCCTATTTATATCTCCTTTAGTGTAACTATGTAGGCCTCAGTTCTGCAAGTACTATGTATGTGTTTTAAATTTTACAGATGAGTAGTCCTGTTGAGTTGAGTTGAATAGAATCACTTGCATGCAGAAGGTAAGTATGTTTAGGGGTTAATAGGGCTGGGCCCTAACAAAGTAGTGCTTTCAGTGACTCAAAATAGCCTGGTTTAATTTCTTCTTTAGTAGTCTTCCCCAAGAAGTAATGGAAAAACACTGTTTCCTGTCCTGTCTCTAGCCCTTCTCAATCCCTCTCCCCCTCCCCGCCCCCGCAAAATCATAAATGGTATGTGCACATAGTATGGCTAGTAATGCCATACAATGCATTCAGTTTAATGCATTCAGTGGGAGTGCAAGGCATCTGTTATTGCAAGAAATAGGGTTTACTTTAATCCGTCTGTCCCCTAGGCTGTCATTGATTGCCTCTTGCACAGCAAAACCAACTTAGCTGCACAAAACTATCAGCAGAGCAGTGAAGATCTAGATGCCCTAGGAGGAAATGGGGTTGTGCCATTACTACATTGATTTTAATTTTTTTTTTAAACAATTCCATTTTTTATTATGAAAAGTGAGGTCTTGCGTGCACTGTCTTGCAAGATGCCTGTAAAGGACTGGAGACCATCAAGAAACCATTCAGTAAAATCTGACATGTAAACATTGATAGTTAGTCTAACTTAGTGGTTCTCAACCTTTTTTAGACTCAAGGCACTCCTTTCTAACTTCTGTGAATTGAGTCATACCCCATTTCAAAAACAAACTTATTTACAGTGCTTACCTCTTTGCAGTGGGAGCAGGGGAATAGCCAGGCAGGGACTGAGCCTGAACCTGCACTAATTTGCTTATCTTCTCATACCTCCTGATAGCTTTCAAAGGGCATCTTGGTTGAGAATCACTGATTAATTCAAACTGCTTTTGGAAAAATTCTTGTCTCTGTTAAATATTTGTAGAGTTCAGGCAACCTTACTATGCACATATTATCTAGATATATGCATAAAAGTCAGAAGTTTACTGCTTTTTCCTTGCATGTAATTCACCTAGAAAATCTGGTTCAGTGTTTGGTTAAGAGTGTGTGTGTGTGTCTCAATGTTTGGTTAAGTGTGTGTGTGTGTGTGTGTGTCTCAATGTTTGGTTAAGTGTGTGTGTGTGTGTGTGTGTTGAGAGAGAATATGCCCTTTTGCTACAAAAAGGTGGTTGTCTGTCAAAAACCTTTTGGAATCTGTTTACCTCTAGTCTCGTTGCTCCATAGTATAATTTGTATGTGGTTGTAAATGGACAAAGTAAAAAGAAAAAAGCCTGTTACGAGGCTCATTATTCTAGGTAGGATAAGTTATGCTTAGATGGATCTTGGGTTTGCACAGTAGTTTTGTTACGATGAATTTTCTTCATTTTGGACCTCAGCCTAATAGCTCTTTTGCGACACACTTATTAGATGTGTAACCTTATAGGATTTCCATAGATTACTTAATGATTTATGGTGTTGGAATAGCTTTTATCTTGGTTAGTGGGTGGTGTTCAGATAGGTACTTAAACAAACAAACAAAATACACCTCACTGATTTTAATCATGCATAGGCCCTTCTGGCTAAAGATTGTCCATGCACTAGAGATCAGGGCTGTATGCAACCCCTGACAGGTTAATATGCAGCCTCCTTCCCCAGGACATTCCCTTCACCTGGCCCTTTGCTGCTGTGGAGGCTGCTGCCACTAGGATCTCTAGGTTTCTCTTCCTTCTCCAGCTTCTGCTTCCACCTTTTGGGTGATGTGGGTGGCACAGCCTTGGGGTCTAGGGCCCCTGTGCAATGGTGGGGCACCTGTCTATGCTACGTGGGGGACCCATTGCAGCATGTTGCCCTTTTAGGTGCTGTGAAGTTGGACTAACATTACTACACTAGATCATGTTACTGCTTTTACGTGTAAGTTTGAAAAGTTCTTGTTTTTAGAACTTAATTGGACTTTTATTTTGGTTCAGAATGCTTCTTCAACTTTTTCAAGATAGACCCAGGTAATAAACAAAAAAACCCTAGCCCCATACAGCTCAAAGTACATACTGGAGAATGAAGAGCAAAGATGACCGAGCTTTAAAATCTAACCCTGTATTTACTGTTACCTAAACCATCCATTTCTGTGGCTTTATCTTGAAAAATGGATTTTGCTATTTCTTATGGACAGTTCAGAAAGATACTAGCCTTCTGTGAAAAATGTATCGAGTTAAATAGCTGGTATCAAGAACTCCAACAGCAGCGTGTAAAAGATGTTCAGCTTCTACTACTGAAAAAGGGGAGAATAGCAAAATTTCCCTGGACCCTTTTACAGGATTTTGGATTCTGAGCTGATGTTGGCACCTGAGAATACTTGCACCTATTGTGATTCTGGGGACGTACAAGTATCAGGGTTTAAATTTGGCTTTCATTTAAAAAATGTTCCTTTATGAAAAGGTCTTTACATATAAACTGCTTGTAGTATTGAGTTTTTACTTGCTAATTTCTTCCCTTTTCACATCCAAAACTCATGAGTTATTTGGTCTTTTTTCCCCATGTTAGCTAGTCCTTCATCTCTGAGTTTGAACTGGCCTATGATTTAGTCAGTTAGGGTTACAGTCTATATCGGAAAATGCCGCCTAGCGGCCACTGCTTTCACACCAATTATTGCAAATTTTTCTCCCCCTGAGCTCTTAATTTAAAAAGCATGGAAACTAGGTTTAGATATTTAAGTATAGGACTTTAAACACAGGATTCCAAGAGGCTGGTTCTGGCTTGTTTCCACAGGCTTCCAGTGATAGTAGTCGCTTTCTTGGGGAGCTATTCCTCAAAAAACAAAAAAAACCTTATGATTTATTTGAAGCCATGCATAGTTTTAAGTACTTGGAATCCATGGGTAAATTTTTTCAGTAGCTAACTCAAAATAAAGTCATTCTGCTGAACATAAGCAGGTATGTGGGGGGGAAAAAAACTGCCAATACTAGGTTTACACTTCAAAAAGAGTGTAGTAACACTATCTGGAGAAAGGGAGAAGATAGCAATTTACAGTTAGAGGCTTAGCTGAACAGCAGCAGAAATGCAATTGTTGAAGTAAAAAAGAAGATTATGGTAGCTGATTTTAATGTTTGGATCTTACAGCATGTTTATAGAAGATTATGCAGGCAGATGTGTTGTGCAAATTGGAGTCTAAGATCTGCCATTGATTTTTAAATGAAGTTACATTTCCCAGATTCTTCTGAGAAATGGAAATGTTGCAGTTAAATAGAATAATAAGATACTATCAGTTTTGCTTTTTTGTACAAAATGGTTCCCTTTTTCAAAATTTCTAATGTTTCCTTTGCTCGGCCCTAACAAAAATCATGTAAAAGGCATTAGAGGTAGAGTTTTCCATAAGCAATTATTTTTCTCCATAATATCCCTGTTTTTAAAATTCTGGTGCTCTTCCAAATATTCCTATTAAATGTTAATATTTTAGATTAATACTGAGGTGTTAAAGCTTTACCAAGGTCTCTTAACATGCTTCAGTTAATTGTATCTATGCAGTCTCAGATGCACCAGTGAGGTGGAAATAGTATAGGTAGGTTGTATATATAGCAAGAGGGTACATATTTAGCAGCATAAATAGTCGATGTGCAATGCATTTATGTTGAGTGGAAACTTTCTGGATTTTGAGATATTTACTATTAAGTTCACCTTTCATGTTGTCAGTTACTCCGTATATTTGGTAACAGTTTATACAATTTCAGAACATTGCTAATATTTAAAACATCAGTTTTATTTAATGTCTACAGGAAGTTGGGATATTGAGAAACTTAACTGACAATTTTCTTTTGTTTTGAAGAAACACATGACACTAAAGGTTCTACTTTATTGAAAGTGGTGTGCACTCTTAACAAACCTATTTATGTAAGTTAAGAAAAGACCACTTCCATAAATATGAGTGCTCCATTACTGTATGAATGCCTTATTGTACAACTTTTCTGCTTTCTTGAATGTGTCCCTTCC